AAAAAATCTATATTGAAGTTGACATTCTAGAGACTTCATTTGTAGAGATCTTCTTTAGTATAATTAATAAAATAATAATGGAAAATAAATATTTTTTTTTATTATTATTTTATCGATGTAATGTTTCTGCACGAATCTAAATCAACTTTAATTATTTTGAGGTTCAGGCAATATAAAAAGCTTCTAAAATAAATAACCGGCCATATTTACTTGGGAAAATTAATTGATTCGTTTGACATAGGTAAATTCACTTCAAAAATATTAAAGGAATATTAAAAACTTGATTTGCAATCTGGAGGTCCTGGGTTCGAATCCCGTCATGTACTAATGTGTTTTCGATTAACATATGTACATTTATCCTACGTTCAGTGAAGGAAAACATCGTGATGCAACCTGAATATATTTGCGAAGAAATTCAAAGATATGTGTGAAGTCAACCAACCCGCACTTGACCAGTGTGGTTGACTATGGCCTAGTCAACTCCCAGGCTCCGAGCCGATAATGAATATTTAATATGATATTTTAATTTAGTTTAGAATTGGTATTTGTAAATATTAATTCTAATGAAATTAACAATTTTTAAAATGAATATGTAGTAGCTTCTTGAATACATTTATATGTAAATATTTCAAATCAAGGAATTCGTGAGGGTCGGCAACAATTCCTTGTCTCATTTTCGTCTCTTTTATTTTAAGTACTGTAATGTATTCGAGGAAATTTATTATTCAAGAACAAAGCGAACGTATTATAAATCTACGTTTTACTACTAAATGAAATCATTTTATTTATTGTATTATTTCTTTTATAGGACTATTTTCGGAATTATATTATGAAGAAAAATAAAATGAGTAAAAAGACGCACTGTTTTTTTAAAGTGGTAAATTTGATATTGAAGTAGTAATGAGGCAAAAATAAATTGTTTGCGGTAGTCCTGGGAATCTAATATATTTGGGATATGGAATTATTCATATCATTACTATGAAAACAATTACTGATCTTATAGAGTTACGTTACATATCAGAATTTTCAGAAGAAGAATATTATTTTACAACTTCCTATTCTTTATTTACTTATTATTCCTTAACTTTGATATTTATCCATATCTTTCTTATATAATAAATGGGAATGTTTAGATGAATGGATGGATGGATAATTGAAGATGTCTGCAGAACGGCTTTATGTATTTTGTAGAAGTTTGCCGTGGATGTAGAAAATAGTCTGGAATAACACATGGGCTACTTATTCAGTTTTTTTTTAACGCGGACAGATTCACGGTTGACATCACCATCATCATCAGCTCACTATACGTCCCCACCGAGGGGCTCGAAGCCTACCCTAAGTTAAGGGTGATTAGGCCATAGTCAACCACGCTGGCCAAGTGCAGGTTGGTTGACTTCACACATATCTTTGAATTTCTTCTCAGATATGTGCAGGTTGCATCACGATGTTTTCCTTCACCGTAAGAACTTCGGATAAATGTACATATGTAAATCAGAAAATCGAAAAACACATTGGTACATGGCGGGATTCGAACCCAGGACCTGCAGATTGCAGTTAAGTGCTTGACCACTGAGCTACCGACGTCTGTCAGGGGTGACAGCTAGCCTGTAATATTGTGTGTCTTTTAAAAACTGGGTTTTGTGTTGGGATTCCATTTTGTGTTTATTTTCTCTTTTATATTGAGCTAGACTTCACTTAAACATCATTTGTAGACATCCCGAGTGCTGTGGGCCGAACACGTGTTGTTAGGGTTAATTATTCAATTAAAACTTGGTTCATTAGTATAAAGAGATGCTTTAAGTTGACGTCTGCATAAAATCCTACGTGCTGAACAAAACAGTTAAAACAACTAGTAAATAATGTTTAATGTATAAACGTTTCGTAATATTTGCGTCACGCGCCTTCATAACGTCATTGACATTTTAATTTTTTACTAGTTGTCGCCCGCGACTCCGTCCGCGTGTTTGTCTAAAAAGTAAAATAAAAAAATTAGGGGTGGACTACCGGTATCAACGGTATAATAGAAAAATCTCAATCATGTATTTGTCTTTACGTTAATATCCTTTTCATATTTCTATTTATTCTAGGTTAATTAATCTAGTCTTGATATAGTTATCGGGGAGCGGTAGCAACGATCTTAACTTGGCAACAGATGTATGCTTGCTCCAAGATAAAGGAGAAATGAGATTTTATTAGAAATGAAATAAATATTACTAATATTATAAATGCGAATGTTTAGATGGATTGATGTTTGGTTGAAGGTATCTCCACGGTTGAACGGATCTCAATGAAATTTGTCATACATATAGTACACAGCCTGCAAGAACACATAGGCAACTTATTTTTTTTTTAATTCCGCGCGGACGTATTCGCGGGCGATATTACAGGAGTACCACATAAATTGTCTTGACATCTATCGGTGGGTAGTTTAGAGCAACAGAGGTGAGAAGTGTCATGATACTTAGAGTTTTACGTTTATCACTTCTCTTCGAATTTCGCTCAAAGTCGACAAGAAAAGGATATTAATTAGTTATATTTCTTCGCCTTTTATGATTTAATGGTACATCAAGTTTTTTTTACATTTTACTACTTCTAAAAACCAAGACTTTTCTCTTTAAATCGTTTTTTTGTAAAACATTTTTAATATAATTATAGAGTATAAAAATTTTAAATTAATTTTTAAAATCAATAGGAAAATATACTCATCATTTATTATAGTTCTGGGGCAATTAATGATTTATAACTTGGACCACCGTATGTAAATTCCACAATCGCACATTAATTGGCCTCGTTAATGCTTCACGGGTTACATTGCTAATTCACTAGGCAAGTGTAAATATGACGTATTCGGCAAAATTACATCTTACTAATAAATGCTAAACTTTAGATGGATTGATGTTTGTTAGAAGTTACCTCCAGAACGGATTAACTGATCTTGATGAAATTTGGCACAAATTAGATCATAGTCAGGACGAACACATAGGCTACTTATTGTTTTTAACACCGCGCAAACGAAGTCGCAGGCGTCAGCTAGCGTTACCTAAATCTACGACTATCAGAAAAAATATAGAACAGTTCTATTGATTAGCTATCCCAATGAAAAATTTTATGCTTGTTAACGAACACCATTGCTTAGATAAAAAATTTCTACGTCTTTCAATCTAGCGAAACTATAATTTGTCGAAAATCAATTTCGAAAATAAACCAAACTAGTTATAGTGAAGAGAATTGAAACACGATTACCTATTTCAACCGATGTCAAGTGATGTCAGTAGCTTTTACATTTATCTTTTTGAAAGCTTTCTGAAAAGATTTTCCTTTCGCACGAGAAATGTCCAAGTCAATATTTCGATTTTATCTAAAAGAATCTAACAAAAAGATAGGCGTAAAATATTATTTATATTTTTTTAGATCGTTGTATTAACTTCATAAATCGATAATAATATTTCGAATATTATGAAATAATAGCACGTTGTGAATTGCTCAAAACAATTTGTAATTTATGATCAGCATTTTTTTAATTGTCAATTGAAATTATCTTTTTTTTTATCATAAGGTGGCAAACGAGCGAGCGGCCACCTGATATCGCTGATATAGCGAAGTGACCATTGCCCATAGACATACGCAGTTGCATATGCGTTGCCTACCTTTCATCGACAGAGGAGAGGATGCACAGAAAGAAAATATATTCCCTTTCCATGCATCCTCTCATCCGGAAAGTCCACTTCCACTTCCCATCCTTTCCTTATAAGAAAAAGGTGGGAAGGGAAAGAGGACTAAATTAGGCCTCCGGGACGCACACTCATCAGACGAAACGCGAAATTGCTTCCACTTGACGCCTGTCTTCTGTGTGGTCGTGGTAGTTCATCGGGCGAGCCAGGCCAATTCTTGCGAAGATGTTAAAGCGGGCTCTACCACTGTTAAATATTATACTTGTATTACGTAAGTTAAATTTAAAAGTAATGACATTTATATAAAATTCCTAATAATTAATATTTGAAATTTCCGTTTTTGATTTTAGCGACATCTATGAAAAGAATATTAAACTAAGTAAGTCTCCACATTTTCAAACGTTAATGGAACTTAAAGACTTCCAGATATACTACCAGAGGTCGCGTAAGTGTTGTTTTGTGCTTTATTCTAGAAAAATAAATAGGTTAAGTACAGTATAACATATTGAAATACTGTGTGAAGATAAAATAATTTACCCCTATTTTAATCAAATAAAATCAGTCCCTAGTCAATCGTCTTACTTGACTTAAAGTCCAATGTCCCCGTAGTGGGGCAGAGGGCGTCCACAGTGCGCTGCCAGTTTGCTCTCGAGCTTTGCGTTTGGTCTCGGGCCATGTCAGCCCGATTGCCTTTACACGCTTTACTATAATTGATACTTTAAAATGACCAAACCTAAAGTTAATATAAAAAAATCAAATTAAATGAATAGTAATTGAACACATGAATATATGTTAACACTAGCAGTCGACCGCGACTCCATCCGCGAGGAATTAAAATAAATACAATAAGTAGCCTATGTGTTCTTCCAGAATGTATGCTGAATTTCAGCGAGATACAAACCCTGTATAGATACCATCTAACTAACATCCATTCATCCATCCATCCCACCAATCGCATTTGTAATATAATATTGACCCATATTGTGGCAAGATTTCTTTTTTGAAGAAAAACAAAAAAGAAAATAAAAAAAAAACTAAGTTAAAAATTATTTTATAGTGATTGTATATTTTATTTTATTTTTATAAAGTTGTATGTACATATGCTATATACTATACAAAATAAACATAAGAGTTAATGTGATGACATATTTCAATATATTTTTGCGTCTTCCTTTTATGTAATTGAGGAAATCACTACAAATTAATTTAAATTAAACGAGAACATCGGTTATTATTAATGGTTGAAAAATTCCGCAAACCACATACAAGGAAAATTTTCATTAAAACATAATCAAATGCTTCTTCTATTTATTTAATATGTCATCAGCCATGGACCGTAAACATCTATTTTATGTAACACTATTTATTATTTATATAAAAACTTCATGTTCGGAATCCGGTAAGTTTTTTTTTAAATCTTCATGAAAACCGCCAGAGTTATTTTGCCATTTAATATCGAAAATATAAAAAAATATAAAAGACAATTTGTCTTCGGGAGCTAATTTTATTGAATAATTTAAAAATAAATAAAATTAGTTAAATATAATAAACTCATAATTAAGTTGCTTTTTACCTTCATTATTAAATAAGTTCTTATGAGTTTTGTTGATTTAAATAATATTTTTAATTTTATGTCGTAATATTTATACGACCTGTATCTTTGATTTAATTTAAATAAAAAAGTAAAGTTGTTAATAATATTGTTAATTTATTAAACGGGATTTAATATATATTTTACAGGTGATGTTGCAACAGAAATGGTAAATACTAATTTTTATTCGTACTGTTAAGTTCCTGATAATATTCATTGTTTTTAAAGAATCTAATTTTACATTTGTAATGATTTGTCAATTTATTAAATTTCTTTACTTCCTCCTGGTTACTAATGAATCAAAATTTTCATGTTAACAATCATAATGAATGAAAAAGGTCATTAAAATTTCTTAAGACTTTTTGAATTTATCACAAACTGACAGAAGAATTGCATCTGGAAGATACTTATCTGTTATTTTTTTTAGGTCTCACACTCTGACGATCGTGAATGCAAAACTAGAATGCGTATGTTAACATTTTTTTTTTAATTTCACATTAATTTTATTATTTAATATAATAATTATTGTATTTCCTTCCAGGACAATGTTCAATAAAAGTGGTACGTAAGTCTTATACAATTATTGTTAAATTTATAATAATTTACATAATATATAGCGCGTACATAGATTGTCGGTGGCTCAGGGGTACATATAATTTTTTTAAATATTAATGAATGTTATAATTGCATGTTCAGACTACTGAATATTTGCGAGGAGAGAGTGGACCAATAGGACCTACTGGGCCGACAGGACTCCCTGGAACACCGGTAAATTGATTTTCATGGTTACTATTTAAAGTTCATATTATCCTATTCTCTAAAATCTATTGAATCGCGGGCAATAGCTAGTTAAAATATTATATAAGTTAACAATATTTTCCAGTAAATTCCAGAATTTATAATAGATACTTATGTCTGGGAAATTCGCTTAAGGAAAGAAAAACAGCATTATAATCTGGAGTTGTGGTCAACCGTATTCTTTTATTAAAGACCATTTTCATAAGACAATTTTGAATTGATATAGGGTTCAAAAGGGGAGACCGGAGAGCGAGGTCCACCGGGACAGCCGGGATCACCGGGAGTTTGTTTACCTCCTTATGATCCAGATGGTGAGTTACAATAACAATATATATATATATATATACTAACTGTCGCCCGCGACTCCGTCCGTGCGGGATTAACAATAGATGTTGGCCGATTCTCAGACCTACTCAATATGCTCACAAAATTTCATGAGGTCAAGTTGTTTCGGAGTAGTATGGGAACGAAAATTGTGACACGAGAAGTTTATTATATATACGAGATACTCGTATAATAATGCCTATATATATATATATATATATATATATATATAATAATGCCTATATATAATAATACTCGTATAAGATATGCCTCTAGTACGCTTGTCCATACCGGAAGTTAAATATTTTTTTATTTCATTTGGCTTTCATTTCAGCTGGAATTTATTTAATTTGGAATCGATTCGTAGCGAATGCACTTTGTCTAACCCATCTGAACGGAAACTAAAGGAATATAATGAATTCATAAATTATTCTATAATACAATATCTTAATTCCAAGTAACTGATAGTTTTTGATTCAACAATGTTAACAAACATTATTTGCATATGTATATTTCCAGATGACATGGGCGATGATGCTTTGGGCGACAAAGGAAAGCCTCTAACTAAACTTTGTAGGGAGTATTCGTTTGTTCAAGCTGCGAGCGAAGAAAACAGTAAACATACTATTTGCTTATTACTTTTAGTATTGTAAGGTGTATCTTTTGGTACATTATTTGATTTGACTACAATATCGTTCGGGTCCATTCTTAACAGCAACTGAAAGTTGTCCCGAGATTTTCATGCGAACGCATCGAGATTTTATTTTATGTCACGCACCTGACTAAATGCATAATACTTCCAATTTCTAAACTGTTTTCCCCGTTGGAATGACCTAATTTATGTATCAAATATTCGAAAATATATATTAATACAAAAATAGATGATAGCCGATTCTCAGACCTACTCAATATGCTCACAAAATTTCATGAGAATGGGTTAAGCCGTTTCTGAGGAGTATGGGAACGAAAATTTGTGACACGAGAATTTTATACTCGTATATAAGATAAGTAATAATAGTAATTGATAAGTATATCACCCAGGGTAAAGGTCTTTTAAAACAATTGAAGGCTAACAGAGAGACATTTTCATTACAACCAATATTTCCTAAAAACATTATCATCTTTTCTTACAGAATTGTACTGGATGAAGAAACAAAATCCTTTCTTAGTTACATGCCCTCGCGGTGGTTGGACATGTATTCAATTGAAGGACAATTCTTTTGCAATCAATTATGCAAGTATCAACAGACAGTTTTGGTTAAGTGAACAGAATTTTAACGTCACTGAGTTTTATGGGGTAGGTTTTTATATTTATTTTTATAAAAGCTTTAAAGTTACTGTTTGTCGAAATGCAGGAAGTCCCCTAATCGATTATACATCAAATATTTTAATTATTTCCTAAACATGCTTCGGGCAACTTACTTTACATTACATAATATACTTTACATTAAATATACAATATGCATATGCAATTGTATATATCTATGGGCAACGGTCATTTCCCTATTTCAGCGATTTCAGATGGCCGTTTCGTTAGCCTCCTTATGATATTTATTATTTTATTTTGCAGTTAACATCTGATCAAATTTCATTTTTACAATCGCAAGCGAGCTCTGCGAGACAGAAAATAAGATACAATTGTGAAAACTCTTGGGTTTTACCAAAAGATAAAGAAAGATCACTACAGATTCTATTATGGAACGATGTCTTGATAGGACCTTATCCAGGAGACAGATCACCACTTTTTTACAGTTTACTTGAAGATAAGTGCAATGTATGTTAATACTTCAATATTTTACTATTTGTTTAGCTTTTAACAGTGGTAGAGCCCGCTTTAACATCTTCGCACGAATTGGCCCGGCTCGCCCGGTGCAATACCACGACCACACAGAAGACAGGCGTGAAGTGGAAGCAATTCCGCGTTTCGTCTGATGAGTGTGCGACCCGGAGGCCTAATTTAGTCCTCTTTCCCTGCCCACCCTTTTTCTTATAAGGGAAGGATAGGAAGTGGAAGTGGACTTTCCGGATGAGAGGATGCATAGAAGGAAAAATATTTTTTTTCTGCGCATCCTCTCCTCCGTCGATTAAAGGTATTCAACGCACATCCAATTATGCTTATGATTAAGGGTAGGCAACGCATATGCAATTGCGTATGTCTATGGGCAACGGTCACTTCGCTATTTCAGCGACTTCAGGTGGCCGCTAGCTCGTTTGCCACCTTATGATATATAAAAAAGCTGATTCAGTGATTTGTTGTTCATCGTTATCATATTCAAGGACGACATCGTCTACTATATCTTTCTCTTTTTGCATCTACGTTGTTCATTGCCTTTCTCTCTTTATCTTCCCTTCTATTTTATTGTTCTAATTTTTGTAATTTGTTCATGTTTGGTCTAATCAAGATGTCATTTTACAGGAATCGACAGAGGCTGGTTACACTGATATTTGGATTGAAACTTTGTCACATCGGTTGCCAGTAATTGATTTTAAAATAAGAGATATTAACAGAGGTACACAACAATTGCATTTGGAATTGAAAGAGCTGTGCTTCGTTTGAAAATTATTAATCGTGTAAATTTTGTTAGGAAGAAAATCCGACACTGTACCGGTGTACTGGCGCAACACTAGCCTTACTAAAATGTCAACGTTTATGTCCCCTCACTAATCATTCTGACATTTGAACAAAAAAAAATTGAATTCACTTATCGAAAGGAATAGTCGAAACCTTTTTTTAAATATCCAAATGCAATAAATATCTCTAACGCAGTTTTTTGAAACATTCCATTTTAGTCAGTTTACAATTATTTTCTTTAATACTAACAAAAATTAACTAACTAAAACTAACACTATGAAAATTGTTCGATCAACAAATTTAAAATAACAGATCATTTTTCGAATGGACATGATCTTTAGATCTGTATTTGAAGCAAATGGATTGGAAATGTATAAACCATCGGTAAGCAAAAATGGATTAAGATATAATTTTGATTTTAACCGTTATTACAACATTTATAATAATTAACTATAAATTACTTTTATGAAAGAGGTATTCTACTTACTTTAAGTTATTTAAGTTTTTTTTTAAAATAAATGTATTATAAAAAAGCTTTATTAATTAAATTCATCTATCTTAGTATAATCTCCTTTAGTTTATAAATAAATAACAGTCGGAATTACAATGAAAAGCTAAAACCCCTTTATCATCATCATCTGCTCACTGTACGTCCACTGAAGGACTCGGAGCCCACCCGAGTTAGGGGTGACTGGGCCATAAAGAGGTTGGCTTCTTGAAGTTGGTATTGGGTGTGTTAGTTAGCAAACTTTAAATAAATGCTATTATATCGTTTGAATTATTTATTTATACATAACAAAATTTGCAACCACTACCAAAGTTGATTATGTTTTAAAAATGTATATTTATTAAGTAACACATTTATGCCTTTGTAATTAAAAAATGGTATTATATTATTTCTTAAAATATGTAGCATAAAATCTTTTACATTTTTTTTATATATCATAAGGTTGCAAACGAGCGAGCGGCCACCATAAATCGCTGAAATAGCGAAGTGACCGTTGCCCATAGACATACGCAATTGCATATGCGTTGCCTACCTTTAACGAACGGAGGAGAGGATCCAGAGAAGAGAGAGGTCCGGAAAGTCCACTTCCACTTCCCATCCTTTCCTTATAAGAAAAAGGGTGGGAAAGGAAAGAGGACTAAACTAGGCCTCCGGGACGCACTCTCATCAGACGAAACGCGGAATTGCTTCCACTTCTCGCCTGTCTTCTGTGTGGTCGTGGTATTTCACCAGGTGAGCCGGGCTAATTCGTACGAAGATGTTAAAGCTCTACAACTGGAAAATTACTATAATACTTTGTAAAAACATAATCAACTTTTGCTAGTCGTAAACTCTTTTATGATCGTATTTTACAATTAAAAGCGTTAAAACTGTTTTATTATTATAATAGTAAACAATCATTTTTAAATAATTTTATTCAGCTTGAATGTAATAATCTAAAATCGGTTATATTTACGGGGTTATCCTTTCAGATTTATTACTCCCATTTATTATTCGGTATCCGGGAACCTTCGAATTTATGGCTTACTTTTGGATGATGGTGATATAAATAAAATATTTAAATTTATTAATGAAGCTGATGAGACAATAGTACAAGAACACACTTTCGGAGCAAGTCCAGGATTCAATGCAGGACAATAATTATCTGATGGTTTTTCGATGATTAAAAATATTTTTTAGGTTAGTTTTTTTAAGGATGGCCGAGTTGGTTATCTTAGCTTTGATAAGTTACTGTCTTGAATGCTGTCAAAACTAATCATAGAAGAGTCATTGATTTTGTAAAGTACTGGCAGTCATTATTATTCATATTCTAATTCAAAAAGAGGATCAATATTAAAGTCGAAAAATAATTTGCGTTGGATTTAAAAAAAAATGAAATAAAATAAGAATATATGACAACTTAAGCCTGCAATAGACGTTCGACGTTCGTTTACTGTTTAGTGTGTAGGCAAAATCAGTTTTAACTGAGCGGTTCGACTGTTTGTAACACTGAACGTCTGTAGCGAGCATTATAAATTTACAGATGGATCAACTCCTTAAGTTTACTTTCGGCGCGGAGTCAGCTCAGTCTGACGCGGTTTCTGCAGCGGTCGGACGTGCCCGCATATACGTAGATTTCACTTGAACTTGTAAACTTTTCTTTGTCCGATATTGGGCTTTGTTTTAATATTCGGTGAATTTAAAAATAATAAAAAAATATCTTTATAATATGTAAAATAAGAAAATATTCAGTTTTCTTGTAATAACAATTAAATTGTCAAATTAACGTTTTTTATTAATTTTGTAATTAACTAATATTAAATAAAAAACAAATCTGGAATGTACGTACGTAAATACACAATATTATTTGAATTAATATTTGTGATTGAACGTATGATTACTTATTACTTCATATTGGAGGAATTCAAAATATCCTAAATTAAGTTTCCTTACAGTGAAAACCAACTCAGACTTGTATCTTCAATACTAAAATCCACTAGCATTATCAGACGACTATTTTTGTGAATGTATTTGTGAACGTTGATATTAGTGTTTGTTTTTTATTTTAAAAAATAGGTATACATTTCAGAGGCTACACATACATAGTTGACAGTATTATGAAGGTAAGAAAATAGATTTTTTTAATAAATTAATTATTAAAATGTCATTATTGTTAGTCAAAAACATAATTTAATTGAGTATCGTTCTAATTTATATTTTTTTTAATAATTAAATTAAAATTAATTTGTTGAATATTATAATATAATATTTAATTAATAGTACATACGTAGACAAAGGGCATGTGGCTGAATGGCATTTCCAATTAGGCTAGACCTTTATCATTATACGACATATTTCACGAGTATAAATTACATTGAAACAAACTATCAACAGAGGGATGTGTAGACCAAATATGTTCTAGTGTGTACCCAAATATAGTTGATACAGAGTAAAGTACAAATAGAGTGGACATATTGGTCTGTAAACTTGATAAATATGTAAAACCTAAAACCTAACTTTAATGACTCTTCTTATAATATATTCGAAACTGAATAAGCAATCACTGGATTATCGAGTCATTGTCCTGATATGCAGGACAACTCTTCATAAGCGTGAACATGGGGTTAGAGAGTAACCTCTATAAGGGAGAAAAAGGAAGGGTTCCTTTGACCCTTCCTTATCTAGGTTTTACTGTATGTTTTCATTCGTTTCATTATCTTTGACAATACAAACACAAAAATATGTGTAAATCGAATCCCACATTTAGAAGTAAATTACAAATAATTGTAATACTGACCTACTTAATGATTTCAATGTACCGCGTAAGTAATATGCAAATCAATTTACAAAATTGTTATTTACAACTAAACCCCTCAATCCAATACAATCTAATAGACAAGATTAATACCTTCTGTGTAGATATGACGCAAATATGTATTTTTAACTTAAATATATGAGGTGATAATTATTATAGAAGAGTAAATTATAAAGATCAAACAAAGTATGGATTGTGTAAAAGAGGATATGCGTAAGAAGGGGATGATGTATGGAGGAGTACATACTGTGTCCTTTGTAGAGATAAGGGCAGGTTAATGATGACGATGAGATGAGTAAATTATGGCTCAGTTATATAAATAATAAGCGCTAGTTACAAACTCGATATATCCAAAGAAGCCTTAAGAATGCTTAATATGTAACTCCGTAAACCTTCTATGTTATGCTCAAACTAATCTTATTATATTAGAGTAGAACAATGCTGTAATCGATAGTATAACGTGCCTTTTACAGCTGATAAATGTCACCTGTGATGTCAGAGCAAACTCATTGTCCTACAAACCTGACTTGGGGAGTGTGGCGCTGTTGGTTTAAGATCTTTATTACTCCAAGAATTTACAAAATTCACTGTACGAGAAACAATTTTACTTCAACATACAATACGAAATTTCATCGGTAGTTAGAGTTTACATTTTGAGTTTATATAATTAACATTTTAGTAATAAAACTCTTTAATTTATTTTTTTAATAATGACGAATGTATTATCGCAGGTGCATCTTACTAATATTATAAATGCGAATGTTTATTAGAAGATATCTCCGGCATAGCTCAACAGATCTTGATTATATTTGCCACAGATGAACATAGTCTGGAAGAACACATAGATTACTTTTTAAGTTTTATTTTCATTCTGCGCGGACGGAGACGCAGGCAGCTAGTCTGTCATAAAAATAGTTTGGGGTAAAGAGACCCATCACAGGACAAGAAAGCAATAAGTATTTTGTACTTTTGTCATCGATAGAGTTCACCTATTTAATTTAGTTTCTCTTTTAACCATCAAACGAGATTGAAGCATCAAATCTAATTTATTTCTTTGTCTTTCACGTGAACCATTTAAACATTTATATAGCTAATATTATTTTTCTAGACGTCGACAGCATTGATATTGCTGGTACACTTATCTCTCCACACTGTTGACGAGGGCCAGGCAGTAGATCCAAGTAAGTACAAAACAAATACTACTCTCAGATCGCCTACTTGTACTTTAAATTAGGAATTTAGCTACTAAAGACATAAATTTTCATGTTAACAATAAAGTAAGACAATTGTCGTAGTTTTTTGAGTCGACAAAGTTAAAAAAATCGTTTTGTTACCTGTATTAATTCTAAGCCTTAAGGAATGTGGGTTCAGACAACTTACATATATTACTTTCACCTTTATGTACACGGGTTTTATGAAGATTAGTATCGTAAGAATGAAATGTCTTCAACATATACGTTGCAGTATTTATTATTTTTTAATCTTAAAGACCTAAAAGTAATGAAATAGATATTACAAAAAACTATTGATTGATAATGAATTTGTTGTTTTGGATATACCAAATTAATAATTAACTTTGGGTATAATTTTTATACATAACAAAGATTTGTCTAACCTTAACTACAATTAAAACATTTCAAAAAATATTTCATCACTCTTATTTTATTTAAAAAAGAAAGAGATGGTCGTATGTTTCTTTTTTATGGGAATGATTTCCAAGGTCATTCAACTCTTCTTTATCAAAGCTCA